TGCAGGTGGCCCCACTTTCCTTCCCTTTACTTTACTTCCGCCCCATCACTTTACTGCTCTCCGCCGCTTGACTGTGGCTATTGCGTGTCCATTTGTTTTGGGTATTAATTTGCAGCGTTGGCAAATTGGCTGGGTAAGCATTTTATTTTATAATCACTGTGATCAGAACCCGATGGCGCACTGCACTGGGCAGCAGCACTGTAGAGGGGCACGCGCTGTAATAGCACACAAGCTACACCAAGGTCTACCTGCATAATATATCAAAATTGTTGACATGTTTACTAATCTAATACTTACTGCTGACATATCGAAATCGAAATAAATTCCACCCTTGGAAGATAAGAACTTAGAGAAATATTTAACATTAACTTGCTTAATGTAAAACCAAAGTTAAGAATTTAAGAATTTTAATAACGTTAAGTACAAATCGCGCTGTTAACGAATTATTGTTAATAACTACACATTGATATTTTACTTTTAATACTTCCAAAATTTAATTAATTCTTTATAGTTTTCCATCCAAATTTGTTTTTTTTTACTTTTAAAATGCTACAATAGGAAATATTGATATTTAAATCAATATAATATACAAGTAAGTCTAAGTATTCATCATATTTTTTATCATTCATTGTTAATACCATGATTGATAGTTTTTTTATTGAAAGTGAAATAATCTCTAGAGACTCTATTGAAGACGGTGGGTTAGGTCGTCAATCAGAATACATAGATGCATAATGAAGTCTGCGATGCATTCCTCATGCCTGAACTAAAGTTTCACACAAAAGCAGGGAAAAGCGCTCAGCACGTTTCTACCTTAAATCAGTCATTCAATTGTGCCACAATCTTTGAGTGCATTTTTCCAAAATAGCCCTGAATTGTTCACGAAATGAATGTTCCATTAGAATAATTTAATATATTTAATTTCAGGCATGTTAACCAACATCTATCAGAATCTATCACTCACGATAATCTGTTTCAAATGAATTTGGATTCATTGATTGTTTAGTAATTTAGAAATAAGGAAAATACAAATTTGTAGCAAACACACGTTTGATATTCCAGGCCCTAGGTTGGTTCGTTTCCATTTGCCATCCATCAAAGCCAAATAGTATTTTGCATAAAGTTGCCAAGTTGTAGCGTTGCGTTGCGTTGCAGCCTGCAGGGCTTATTCGGCATTGGAGTCGCATTTGCAACGGTACTTTGCGGCTATAAAACGTTTAGCCAGTCGTCAATCTGGCTCCGGCTGATGTGTCAACATTGCGGCGAATGCAGCTGCAACCTGTTGTCAGCTGCAGACAGGCTGTGGCACAGCCAACTAATTATGAATCAAATAGGCGAGCGTCTGCAGAATTGTCGCCGATGTAGCATTAATAATGCAATATTTAAGCATTGAGTTTATTGGCGGCACCTACATGAAATCATCATTAAATGTTGCAGCCAGTGTTGTGGTTGCCTCGCCGCAGAACTCGTTTGCCGCAATTTGTGGCATTAGCAGATGCCGCAGACATGTTAGCTCCTACACAGCTTACGACCCATATCAGCCTCTGCCAGGCCAATTGATGTGACTTCCGCTCTGTCTAAGCTCGAAGGCCTCTAAGTTAAAAGCCACAGCTATAACACACAACCCATAGCCGAATGCCCACAGTTCACAGTCCACAGTTCAGGAAGTGGCCAAGACACTGGCCCGGACACAGACGGACCAAGACTTTTCAATATAAATCAATTGCGATATTTGCCTCAGCGCATACGAAAGTAGCAGCAAACGGAACTGGGCGCAAGGCATACGTCAATATGGCAAAGGACATGCGAATTGGCAAAAGAGAATCTCAAGACATTTCAAATTTAAAATGTGATTTCGACAAACACACACACAGTACACAGTGGCATATAAGCAACTGGAGCCACACACATATGCCAAGTCAAATTGAAAGGATAATTCGCCCGCAAACACCCTCCTGGGTATGCAGCTCGCCCTGAGACTCAGCGCGACCGCCTTACGCCCTTCGACTGCTGATGGCATGCTAACACGCCTTTGAATTTGCCAATTGCTGTTGGCGCACGTACAAAACACTTAAATTTGCACAGCGGCAGCCAAGACACAGTCAGACCCGGGCCAACTGCATACGTACCGACAGACAAGCATATATATGGAGCACATATACAAACAAACATTGCTACATATGTATAGATGTAGTCCGCAGCCGGCCGGGAGCCGCAGTCATACCCAGAGGCACTAGGATGCCAGCGAGGCAGCGAGCACGTTTAAGAAATAGAATTTTTAAGCAAGTGCGTTCGAGTCAGTCAGCCAGCCAGGACCAAGTCCGAGTCCGTATTCCATGTATGCGCATTCTTTAAACTTTCTTTCTTCTTTGTTTCCTTTGCATTCTCCACTCCATGGGATCACGTAAGCAAATTCAGTCAGTTTGCAGCTCGTTGACTTATGATTTATATAATAGTTTGAAAGATTTATATAAAAGTTTGCTAGAAAAATAATAATATATAATAAAATATATTTATATTTTAATCACCTAAGAATAAGTAGACATGTTTTCTTTTATTTTTTAAAGGTCTAATTCAAATGTTAGTGTTCGGGCAAACCTGAAGTCAATTTTTCTGTAATTTACAAATCTGATTTAATATTGGCTTTCAGCTAATACAAATTTGCGATTCGGAATTAAAAATGTTTCAGTGTAAAAGCAGCTAATATAGGTACAAGGGCAGAGTATCGACTAGTCACCTACAATTCTGAACTGCTGTAGTCTCCTTAGACACATTTCCATGTGCACTTGAGCGTCTCACAGCTTTACAGCTAATGAATTGCGCCCGGTTCAATATGATTTCTTGCACGATTTGTTTGTTAAAAGTCAATTAGTTGATAAAACAGCTAAAAGCAGCTGCGAGGCAGCAGTAGCTTCTTAGTCAGTTGGTCCGTTTCGCTGCCAGGAATAGCCCACACACAAATGTAGCGTTGGTGGTTGTGGCGGCGGCTGCTGGCTGCTGGCTGCTGGCTGTCTGCTGCCAGTGCCCCTGGTACTGGCTCAGGCAATGCCACTGCCACTGCATAATAAATTCGCTAACCACGTAATGCTGCAGCTGCAGTGCAGGGATTTGGTATACATTTTTTATGCGCTGCCCGCCCGCTTGCAAGTGCCGGAGACACTGGCAAAAGTTTAAGAAAAGTCAACAGTTAACAATGCGGCTTCAACGTGTCGCCCGTGCCGATGTAGATGTGGATGCGGATGCGGATGCGGATGAAACCACAGCAGCAGTAGCAGAAATAGCAGCAGCAGCAGCAGTAGCCGCAGCAGGGCTAAAGTTCGTGCGCTCTAATGGCATATTGCGGGCAAGTGCTAAAGCGAGTCGACGACGCTCCGGGAATATAACCAGTATGTGAGTGTGTCTTCAAGTGTTTCGGGCTATGGGCTCTGGGCACATAGTTTGGCTTTGGCTGCTGGTTGAGTTTGTCTTTAAAATGGCCAAAACTTGCTGCTAATTGGATTTGTCAACTCAATAAAAACTGAATTAAATGCGTTTTGATGGTGTGACTTAATGTTCGCTCTGGGTTCCTTGACCAGCCACCAGTCACTAGTCACCCGTCGCCAGTCATTGGCCACGAGCTCACAAAAAATAAAACTTGGCAGGCAGCATGCATAGACAAGTAAGCGGCCGCAGCCAGTTGCAGGATGAAAGGTATTTTGTTTTGTCCTAAAACTTTTGCATATTAAAATGTCATAAAAAGCAATGTGCAAAGCTATTTCCTCTGCCAATTGCATATAAATTCTGAACTGAAAACAAAACAAGCATTTGCAGCTGTTTTATGCTTGCATAACAAACACTTCGCTCGCTAAGGCAACGCGGCGTATGTATAATTTTGGCAGCCATCGTAAGAGATAAAATGTCATTAAGCCAGAATGCAGCACGCACAAACAGTCCAGATCGACCGAAGCTGGAGCCCAGGCTGTTCAGCTGCCCACACAGTGGTCAGTGTTTGGCTTTGGCGTTGGCTTTGGCGTTGGCTTTAGCTTGGGCCCGTTGCGTGACTGTGACGGTGACTGCGATTCCGATTTCGATGACGCCTTCACATGCCGCAACAGCAGGATGCGAAGTGGAGCCTCCCGTTGGCCAGATTACGCGCACGATATGCTAATTTACATGCGGTGCCAGAGTCCAAAAGAAGTCTTGTTGTGGGCGATCGATGGCCATGCGAGCCAGTCAACGGCACGGGCAGCGGCACTGGCACTGGCACTGAGGCCTCGAGCTCAGAGGCTTGCGGCACGGCCTACGGTGCACCCTGATCGATATCTGGCATCTGGAAAAAAAGTGGTAAGTACAAGTAATCGAGTTGTAATAAATTTAAAGTGTGGAGCACCCACAAAAATACGCCAAGGCAAACTTGTTGCACGCATATTGACACACGCACAGAAGCACGACCAGATGGTGAGAGCCGAGGTATCGAGTGTGGCTGCAGCGGGCAGGGGAATCGCGATAGAAAGTCCTAGCCAAGCTGTTGATTTTCAGCAAACATTTCACCTGCTTGGCTGTTTGGGCCGCTGCCGCCGGCTGTTGAAAGTTCGACCCGAGGGGCTATTCGCTAAGTATTTTCACGTTGCGGTTGTGACCACTTAAAATCAACTGCCTGTAGTTGTTGCCAAAGCAGTTGCATGCAACAAGCGTCAATCACCCGCACAAAGCCAACCCGTTCGCTTCACTGCCATGGAAAATTGTTGATTTGCCGCTTGATTGCGTGCACAGAGTACAGTTGGGGTGCTCCGAAAGCAGCCTGCAGTCAGGCTGCATAGTCAAAGCCATCAACTCTTTATAGATGCATTGTGAAGTGCAAAGCCTAAAACACCGACAAGCATCAGGAAATAGCATTGAACATGTTGGTCAAATGAACAACCACAGCAAAAACAATTTATACTTAATTTCAATTCAAAAAGTGAACAACGCAAGAATATATGAAAGGGCCACTTCAATGGCCTCACTGCAATTACATATATTCTTTTTTGAGTGTGACAATTTATTGTTTATCCATATTTTAAATTTATTAATTTCTTTCAATTATAAAATATGTAAGTCGATAACTCGGTTAGCCAGTTACTGCCTTCAAAGCGCTTGGACTTAGCCCAAGTGGTGGTATTCCTTGACCTTGTGTCGACACGAAAGTGTACTTGGCCACATAGCCATTGGGACCTGCTTCGTAGGTAACGGTCAGAATTCCGGACGGCGATGCATACTGTTGTATGAGCTGACCCTTCACTATCAGCTCTCCAGGTTTGACCAGTTCCACGGATTCCTCACGCACAGCGCCACTTTCATTGATTCTATATGTGAAATGTTGTAATGACCATAGAAAAAAGTAAGAAAGCTCTAGTCGGAGTGTCCTATCATCGGTTTTTAATATATCCCATTATTTTTGAAGAGTATTTTTAGAGTATTAAAAAAAAAACAAATAAAAGCCGACATTACGACACAAAGATTTGAGCCTACTTTGCCTACACAACGCATATCAACTCTACCAACACCGATACTTCGTAATTAATAAAAAAAAATAAGTAAAATAGCTCAAGTTAGGGTGCCCGACTAAGAAATACCGTGATCCCAGTCTGATCTGCGATTTTTATTTATAAAAATTTATACTTAATTTCAATTCAAAAAGTGAACTGCTCAAGAATCTATGAAATGGCCATTCCAATGGTCTCACTTTAATTACATATTATTATATTATTTATTTATTTATTTATTTTTCTTCCAGATTTGAAATTATTTAATTTCTTTAAATTATAAAAAGTATGTAGCTAAGTCGTTTAGCCAGCTACTGACTTCAAAAAGCGTACATTTACGTAAGCAAACCTCCTCAACTCGAAAGTATACTTGTAACTATTGGGACCTGCTTCGTAGGTAACGATCAGCAATCCAGAAGGCACTTCAAAAGATTCTATACGCCGACTCTTCACTATCACCTCTTTAGGTTCGTCCTCTTCCACGAATTCTTCACTCTTGGCCTCAATTTTATTGTTTCTAAATTTGAAGGATTTTAATTAGTATAGATAAAACGAGATTAGGCACTGCTTTGGCGCTCGAACGACTACTTAACACTCGTAAACCGTTTATAAATAAGTACTACATATACGAGTATTATACACTGAAATATATGTGTATTCCCAGTTGCATGTGTCAAGCGCCAATAGTGTTCAGTTAATATGCATCCATATTTTTTGACTCAACCTTGCTTGACTCAATTTGTCAGGCCCTCAATATGCTATATATTTTAAGTCAAGCGTTATTTATTCGAGTTTTTAGCTCGACTTCGTTCATATAGACAGGTGCACAGACGGATGGACAGAAAGGTGACAACACCACACACTTCTTACTATGTGAACAACTATAAAAAATATATAAAACAAATTTTTAAAAATTATTCTACCTGAGAGTATAATTGTTATTAAGCGGCTCCAGCTGATCGTTGTCCTGAAGATTTGGTACTATTCCTGCCATTGCCGAGTTGGCAATTAAAACAAAAAGCAACTATATAGAAGAGAAAAGGTGAGATTATAAATTTCGAGAGAAAATAGAAACATACCAAGGCAATCAAATTAGCAGACATACGGTCGTCGATCTTCTTTCGTCTGAGTCTAGCAGCTAACTAAATAATCACCTTGTGGCGAATCATCTCCAAGTCCCATCACGTAGTCGCTACACTCAAATTATATTAGGCTAAAACGAGTTTTACTTTTTGACGGTTGTTAAAAGCAATATAAATATATCGCGGCCTTAAGCTTGAAATTGTGTGAAGACTACGTCACCCACACATGTCGCAATAAATTAATAATTATTGCCTAACATTGGATGATTGAAGCTATTCGCCAAAAAGTCTTCTCTAATTGAGCAATATATATAATAATCCCCCAATTGGAATTTAGATGCATGTTGTTGGATCAGATCTAAATATGTTTTGAAATTTAAAAATTGTATTTCAATTTGATTTTGTTTACTTCTAGTTTATTTCGAAAGCAATTTAAAAGAGAGAATTCTTTCCCCAATTGATGAAGTCACATGAGCTTGTAGCCGATTTGACGAACATGATCATTCTTTTCTACATCTTGAGATCCATCTGAGGTGCTAAAAATAACAGACATTTCCTATGTCAAAAAAATTATTTGACTGCGAGTGTATTAAATATTAAAATATCAAATTTTAAGGCAGGCCTAATTAGAAAAATGAATTCGAGGAAACCAAAACGTAACTATTCATCTCATTTGCTAATATCTCTGCTAAATGTAAGTCAATAAGCCAATAAGATCTTTGACCCCAAGTAAATATATCATTATTAAAAGGCTTAAGAAATATTTAACGCTCAACGTTATGTTTGGCAGCTTACTTTTATTAATAAAAACGAAATGAAGTTAAAAAAGAGAAAAACTATAAATTCTTAGTTAAATGTAGAGCACGAGCTGCATACTGCTTACTCGTTGGTAAAAGGTAAAAAAAAGGTAAAAGGTAAGGCCACTTTTGCTGTCCATTAAATGAGCAAAATGGCCAAAACGTATTTAATAAACAGTCTTCCAAGCGAACGCTTTTATGACACACATTTTAGGGCCGGAAGTGTGCCCCGCGGCGTAAGCTAACTACCACCTGGGAGATTGCACACCACTCTGGGAACGGAAACTGCCTTTTTCTTTGACTTTGGCCACAATATAAAACTGGCAATTACTTGTACCTCGAAACTGAGATATTGCTTATTAACTGCTCGGCTTTTGTTTTGATAGACAGCGTCCTTAGACAGGCAGACTAGCTTACAGGCGATTCACAATAAAGCATAAAATTATTTTATTGAGTTCCATTTTCAGGTGCCGTGGTCATGTACACAGATTAGCTATTTCGACGATACACGACCCACAGGTTCACCCTCATTTCTTGCTATAAGCTAGATCTCTCTCACTTCTTCCACTTCATGCATAATCAACTCTTCCATCATAATCGGTATTTCTGGATTCAAATAAATTAAGATCAAGTAAACTAACACAATCTTGTAGCTATTATTAAGAAGGAATTTTAGATGACTGCGCAGTGGTTTGTGAAGCGCAAGAATTTTTTAATTTGAAGTTCTACAAATTGTGGTCATGGCGACGAAATAATCAAGTTTGAAATTACGTTTTTATAGTCTTCACTATGTTTAAGAGTTGGTGAAACTAGCAGAAGATTGTTCTGAGAGAACAATTTTTTTACCCTGTGCTCGCAGCATAATAAAGAGATCAAGCCTTGGTTTAACTGCAGTTAACTGTAGCCAAAATTCTGTTTCACTATTTCACGACTACTGTCTATAGCTGCATAGCAAAAGTAAAATTAAATTGGACACTTAAATAGAATTATGAAAGATGCTTTATGAATTCAGTTTTATCGACCTTGTACATTGAAGCCCTCCAATTAATTTATTGTAATCAGATACACAATCATACAATCATATTCAGTATTTTATATATTTCTCTTTATAGATTTTCGGTTGTGGCGACACAAATTGGTATCCAGTTTCAGGGCAATTCATAAAAAACAAAAAGTCTGCCAAGCGGGCTGGAGTAGTCTACCTCTTTATAATTGCTGACCAAATCCACATTTCACAACAGATTCATCAGAATGTTTCATTCCACAAAATATTCCATATGCTATTTGTGAAAGTTCAGTGTCAAACACACAATGCAATATTGAATTTACGATGAGAAGAATTAAAAGTCTGTAAGCAAAGGAAATGGCATATGTCATTCCGTTTCCTTTAATTTACAGCTCATATTTATTGAATATATTGACTGAACACATTAAAGGAATTAGGGGTACGAGTGTGGCTTGGTAGACGGACTCGTGGTAGACGGACCCGTGGTAGACGAAATTTTATTTATTCTTGATATTCTTGATCAGGACCACTTGAAATCGAATATATAGATATTCTAAATATACATTCTTGTTCACCCTACGCGGTACAAGCTTGCCAATCAGCTTTTCTTTAATTTTTATCAAAATCAATAATTTGATCTATATTTTCAAACCTATCAAAAGGAGGTAATTACAAGTGTCTGTAGAATCTGGGTCTAGAAAAAATGTGTAATTATTCATTTCCCATACGAACGCCCACAGTACTGCCAAAGCACAGTCGTTTCCTAGCCGGACATTCCCGACAATAAAAAGGAAAAAATGTAAAGAAGTCTTACTATTTGGCCATGTCGACAAAGTAAGCGTCCAAATCTATAAATATTACATTTCGATTTTTTTAAGAGTTTTCACTTAAGCCATATGATAAATTAATTAGTCTTAATTAAATTGGAAGTATCAGAATTATACCTTTGTTTATAGATCTCAACTGCATATGGTGTCGAGCCTCAGGAAGTCCTCTCATTCCCAAATTTTCAGTAATTGCATGCATAAGAAAGAAACTCGAAGCTCCGGCGTCCGCATAAATACTTTGACAGACCCCTTACCATTCACATCTAGAGATTAACTGTCGAGCCATGCACGCATCGCCGCTAGCTTAGCGTCTGGCTGGCAACAGCCGTTGCCCTGAGCACCCACTAGCAATTGCAGACGAACTAGAGATGAACCCGAGGCAGTCGCTGCGACCGTAGTTGATGATGCCAGCTGACCTTAATCACAAATTTGCATGCGCATTGGGGCCTCGAGTCGACAGACAGACGGAAATACAGTTGGAGTTGGAGTCGGAGTCGGAGTTGCAGCTGCAACAGGTGCAGCCATTGCAGTCGTTGCAGTTGTTATAGAGTTTGTCTGGGCATTGAAAATTCTTGCTACACCCACATGCGAGACACGACCTTAGCAGCTCATTGATTTCAATGGCCTTATGCCTGCAATTTAAATGCATAGCTAGCTATAAATTAATGCCAGACAATTGCATATTTGCTAAGGTCGTTCAAAAGAGGGAAACAGAGACACAAACTGAGACTGAGGCAGAGGCAGGGGGAGAAACCCGTTGTTGCTGCCCCAATGCCTGGGAACGGGCAACACCCGCAATTGATTTTGTTCTTTTTTTTTAATTTTTTGGGTGATTTTGTTATGACTTGCAGCTGCAGTACACAGCAGCTTGATTTATGTGACAAAAGCTGCAATGAAGGCCGTAGCTCATATGGCAAAAAATTGTCAGCAGAGCGAGCCATAAAAGCCGAGCGCCGAGATACGAGCCCGATACCAGGCACTAATCAACACGTATTGATCATATGCAAGTGGTCAGCAGTCACCAGACTCGAGAGTCCATGGAACAACTCTCTATTAATTAAACGGCAGCAGCAGCAAAAACTTAGCTGCCGTTTTGGTCAGTACACGTTCACCCAACTACAAATTGCTGTTGCCACTTTAGTGCGCCAGCGACTGATTCTTAGGCCGGCTCCATGCGACCAATATGCTTATCGTGGCGGCGTAATCGCCAATTGCCAGCACCGAGGGCAATGAAAATGGACTGTGATGCCATTCCACGGACAGAAGGACGTAATAGGACCGGGTGCCGATGAGATACATTCTACAAGGCATAATTTATACACAGCTCTTTTCCCTTAAGCTGCTCATAAATGTGGCAGTTTTCCTTAGAACAGTAGAAGTCAATATGGTCTGTAACACGTATAAGCCATTGCGGTAAGCAGGCAGGCTCTTGGCTTACAATTGGTTTGTTTTGAAGCAGCTCGTACATGGAATATTTTTAACAAAATGGAGCTTGCAACAGATGTAATCTGCTATAAACAATTCCCTACTAATGATCTTCAGGGCGAGGATTTCACAGTTGATTGCGAATGAAAATAAATATATAAAAAAGTGAGCCATTTCAGTCATGGATAGTTATTAGAAAAGTATAAGGATTCATTCCCTTATTGGATCAGATTCCGAATATAATTTTAAAAAGTAAATGAAATGCATTTAAATTTGCAAGCTGTGTAGTTCATTAACCTAGAATCTACTATATTTGATCTATGACAAAACTGAAGCAACGTGATCACTTAACAATTTTGTTGCTGCAATTTATTGGAGCTGGCTTTGGTTTGGCCATTCGCAAATCAATTTGAAACAAACTTGTGGTCCATTAACGACAAATGACATTCAAAAAGCTATGAATTTTATGCGCAGTCTATCGCAGCTTGAATGGCAATATGCGGGTGCTTTTCGCTAGGCCAGTTAACAGCCAACAGCCAACAGCTAACAGACTACAGGCAGCAGGGAACAGCTAAGAGCTGAGAGCAGAGCCGGCCAAGCTGGTTTCCGTCTGATGTCTCCGTTGCCGACCTGCCCCAAGGCGCAGTGCGGTGTAATTAATGCAGCAGCAGCTGCGCTTTGCTCGGCCCCTGCGCCAACGTCGGGCGTCTCTCGGTGCACCTCGGTTATCTGACGCTCGCATATTAAAATCTTTATAGTCTTTTGCGGTTTGTCTTTGAGTGTTTTTTTTTTTGTATTTTTTGGCATCTATTCGATTTAGAAAATGTCGCATTGGCTGCGTGAGTGTGGGAAACTAC